ATAGACCAAATAGCGTGCCCTGAGTTGCGTCTTAAAATGTGAATGACTAGCAAAATGGGGAAGAGTATTCCAGGCATTCTTTCATTCAAGACATTTTTATACAGCACTTGAGAATCCACAATGGCAAGAAACAGAACAACAAATCTAAAGACTTAGGCCAGAGCCCAGCTTCTGTTCTTGGCAGTTTCTGCATATCTCTGGTGGCCTTGAGCTTTCGTTTTCATTGGACCTTGCATGGGTAAGGCACAGAGAAAATACCTCTGGCACATGCAAGGTGGGAAGTCAGGTCAGAGACTCCCCAAAATCTGAGACCCTCCCCCCAAAACAGTGATGATGTCAGTGAAAGACTAAACCAGGACAATAAAAAGCCTTGCTTTGTAAGAAGGATATGACAAAGAAACTTGACTATCTCATCCTTGGCTCTAAGAGAAGAAAAAAAGTTGTAATTCATAACCACAAACAAGCTCACCTGGACATGAATCAGAATCCACGTTACCAGTATCTCATAAATCCCTAAGTGAGAAATTAGTTTAATGTTATTATGAGTTGAAAGTTCCCTTAACTTCCTGGAGGAAAATCAAATTGTTTCTTGAGGAATGGATCTTAATCTCAGGTTGCAAATAATTCCCATTCCTATGGAATGTGAGTTTACAAGTTAAAAAAAATCACAAAATCCATGAAGAAATTAGCCCCTATGAGTGAAAGACTTTGACCTCCAGCTCCCCCAAAATGAAATTACATTTACAAAGACCATAGAGATTAGAATTGTCTGATATAGAATAGAAAATAAGTATGCTTAATATGTTTAAAAAGTGAAAGTATAAAAATATGAATGAAGTAGAGACTATGTAGATGTTCAGGAAGATTTGACAAAGAACCAAAGGAATTTTAGAAATAAATATATAATAATTTAAATATGAAATTTAATGTTTTGATGTTTTATAAGTTATTAGTGGATGCTGAAACATTTTTTATGAAAAGTGGTTGGGAAACAGAATATTAACATGGACTCAATGTATCAGCCAGAAATTATTTATTAATTGCAAAGAGAAAATATACCTTTATAGTGGAAACATTTGGCAGTTATCACCTTAGTCAAATTTAGCAATAATTTTTATGTGATGTAATAGGAAGAACATCATATCACTTATGTGCATTTCTATCAAAAATATTTAGATTCAGTGTAGTCTTAAAGGAACAATGAGAAGAATCCAGATTGCCTATAAGAATATCTTTGTGAAAAAAGATGAAAAAGGGTGGGAGGAATCTTCTAGGTCAGTGCTGTCTGGTTGAAAGGCAATGCAAGCCGCAAATGTACTTTAAACTTTTTTGGTGGTCACATTAAAAAAGGTAAAGAGAAACAGGTAAAATTAATTTCAATGATATATTTTATTTAGTTTAATAGGTGAAAATATTTAAACATGTAATTAACGTAAAATTATTAATCAGGTATATTATATGTTTGTAGTAAATCTTAGAAATTCAAAGTGTATTTTATATTTCCAGCACATCTTAATTCAGTGTAGCCATGTTTTAAGAACTCAGGAGTCATATGCTGGTGGCTACCATATCGGAAAAGGCAATTATGGGTTAAAGTAGATCTAAGAGCTATATGTGATCCTTGATTAGACCCTGGGTTGAAAAAATAAAAAGCTAGGAATGATATCTTGGAGGACAATTAGGGAAATTTGTATACAGATAATATATTAGATAATATTATTGTATCAATTTTAAATTTTGGGGGTAGGTATTGTGAATATGTAGGAGATGTAATTGTTCTTAAGAGCTATGTGACGAAGTATTTAAGGGTGAAATATTATGCTGTTTTGAACTTACTTTCAAATGGTCCAGCAAAAAATTTATGTGTACACATACTTACATATGTGTGTGCATACATATATTTCACTAAGGCCATGAAGTATTTGATTTAAACAGTTAAATTAACAAGCTTGATTTATTAGGTAAATTTAGACCAACAATGAGAGAATATACATTATTTCCAGACAAATATGGAATATTATGAACATTGACTATACACTGGTCTATAGAGCAGGAGTCAAATTTCAAAGAATTTGGAATTATACAAATCATGTTCTCTGATTACAGTGAAATTAAATTAAAAAATATGATACAATGATAGTTTAAAATCCCATAATTTGGGAAGCAAAGATTATTTATGGAAAGTATGGAGGATGGATTGGAGGGTAACATGGTTGGAGGCAGGAATCCGAGTGAGGAAACTATTCGTGTTTCAGAGGAGAGATGATAAAGGTCTATGTGGAGACAGTGTGAGTGGGAAAATATGGAAGGGATTTAATGAATGATTGTATGAGGAGATTGAGGGAGAGTGAGTAGTAGAAGTGGCTTCTAGGTTTATGGATGGATGGTAGTGTAATTAATTGTGAGAGGGACACGTTGATTGGGATGTCTTTGGGACATGTGTATAGAGATAGTTGGTTATTCAAATATGGCAATTGACAGTGGTCTGAGCCAAGATACACAGATTTTGTGAGGAATCCACATTTAGATGATAAATGTAGCCATGGGGGTGGACCAAATCATTCAAGTGAAGTGTTAGAAGGCAGGCAGGGAAGGAGCTGTGGGCATAAACAACAGCTGGAGGTGGTCAAAGCAAAATGAGCCCATGAAGGAGACAGGTGAAATAGTCAGAAGTGAAGGAAATTGAATGGATGATTGATTACAGGTGAATGAATGATTGGTTCCAGCTGACCTCGGAGGAAAACATCGTAAACAGAGTTAAGGACTAAAGTCCTTTAGTTGGCAGTTCTAATGCTTATGTTCCATTTGTTTGATTTCATTACAAAACCCCCAAATACTCATTGGTTTACCTACATTTTCTTTTCCCAGTCTCTGTCTGTCTCTCATTTGCTAATTATTCTAACCAGAAGTGATGTATAATTTATTTTCCAGAACTGAAATTCTAGAGTTTCGTGTAATTGTTTTAGAGACTAGATTTTACATAAAGGGAATAGTTATGAACACAGAGAGTATATTTGCCCTAAGTCATACAGTGTCTGATTCCCCATCTAAAGGTTTATCTAAGCTAATTAGAAGTAATGTTGAATTTTCATATGCTTTAACTTCCTCTCTAGAAATCTGCTTTTACTCTATACTACTTCTTCTAGGGGTATAACTGCACTTATTTTTTATTTTGGATATAGACCTAACATGATTTATTTAAATGCTACTCTATAGGGCATTTAAATGGATTATGCTCAAAGTTTTTAACAGATTTTTTCTCAAAATGAGCATACATTTTGCTTTCCCCCATCATTTTTCTCCACTTTTCAGCAGTGATGGTCACTGTTAGTCATACTGTCCATTGAGCGTGGTCATCCTGTTTTATTAAAAGTTATATCCTACATCTCCCCTCTCGAGGAGTTAGCATAGCAATTTTCACTAAGAACATATTCCTTAAATAAATAAAATAAGCAAATATGCATATTGAGTATCATAGTGATTAAGAATGCAGGCTCAGGGACTGCCTGCCTGGGTTTGAATATCGACTCTACCTACTGCTAGCTATATAACCTTGGGAAAGTTAATCTCTATTTCTCTGCTTCAGTTTCCTCATCTGTAAAACGGGGATAATAATAATATCTAATTTATGGAGTTGTTGTGAGAATAAAATATGATAATCCATATCCAGCAATTAGTGCACTTAGCATAAGGCAAATGCTTTTAGATGTTTCTATTTTTAAGACTCAAACTTTTAAATTCTTTCTCTACTTCTTCACCTTAATATGCTATTTCTCAACCTACCGTGTATCTATACGTAGAGCGTGTCTTTTGAGCTCTATAGTCACCTTCCAAAGGAAGCAATACAGAAATTACTCTCCTTTGCTGATTAGTCACCTGAGGCCCCATGAACTGTGGGGAACAGTAGAGCAGACTGATGAAGGGTGAATTTACAGTCAGAGGAATACAGGTTCGAGTCCTGGCACTGCACCTTTTAACTTAAAAGATCTTCGTAAGTTGCTTTCCTCACATGTAGCAAGGAATAATCACAGTAGTTCACACACACACACAAACCCAAAAAACCACCAAACAACAGGTCCAGAGGCTTAAGTATCATAGGGAATGCTAACCAAAACCCCTGGTATATTATAAATAGTCAATTAATATTAACATTCTGTTTTCCATTTCTCCCAAATTTTTATATTCCATGTTATACATTTAAAATCTAAATTACATAATGCATTCAGCTGTGCTATTCTATTTGTTAGCATTGACACACCAACTAGTTTGTAAATATTTCTAAAACAGAGGGTTTCATCTCATATTTTCTCCATATCTGTGATATACCTGAGCTAGTAGCTAGAAGGTACTTAATAGATATTTGACTTAATAACTTGTTATAATGTTTCAAACTATGTTCATCCCATTATCTGTACAAAATAGAAAGTAATAGGTATTTAAAAAATATTGATGTAGATCACGCTTTAGTCTCGAAGTACTAGATTGTTTTTTAAAAGCAGAACTTTTGCCTTTGCTGGACTTCAGTCTTCCTCTCTATCAAATGGATGAGATTCTGGAGCACTCAGTGTTCCTATTTACATTAACTAATGATTGCTAAATTATTTTAAAATAGCTGGTTCTCCTATAAAAACTAAGCTTTATGGTGATGATGATGATGATGATAATGCTGGTGTGTATAAACGAGGCTGTTTGTATTCATTGGTATATGCTATGCTGTTGCCGACATTTCTCCGGGAGCTATCTCCTTTCTGATATATGCAGTTCATTTACTCTCTACTTTCGGCCCTAAATTTTAGTAATTGCAAAACATCTGAGGAGCATGGGGGGAAAAACACCCAAATGTGTTTTTAGAGTATCTTTGTGTTAGTAATTTTTTTAAAAAATATTGTACCTCTGGTTATTAAAAAATCTGTGATTTGCAATTTAATTCAAAAAATGCACTTAGAACTTGAAAACTAATAGTATACAATTAAAGCTTTTCTTTTTTTTTTAAACTCCAGAACAAGTTAAACTGGGTAAAATAGTGACTAATATTGAATCAGTGAGTAAAAAAATGGAGAAAGAAAAACAGCATCATGGGAAGTCCAGGTAATGTGTACTTAGCTACCCTATAGAAGAAATATACTTTTCTTCTACTTTGACAATATTTTCTGACCAATTGTTGTGGCTTCTCAAGTCTATTAACACCCTTTGCATGAGGCTAATTTATCCTTCTGCTTGAGTCCCTCGAAGCATATCAATTATCAAAATTTTGGTTTTCAGTTCAATTAACTTTTGAACTGGAGGATGTCTGAGTAGTTAAGCAAACCATCTGGGTTTTACAGTGCATAAACTCAAATCCAATTTGTGGCTTTCTTGAGAAGAATGCCATATTTTATGATAATATTACATAAGTTTGGAATTTTAATAACTCATCTGCAGCAATTATGGAGCAGAGTTAAGTTATGATTTTTCTTTTTTAATTTAATAATTTAAAGTTAGGCTTTTTCTAACAGAAGGTGAGGCTGATCTTACAGAGCATAGTTTGAAGGCAGGAATTTTGAGCATTGCTTCTGCTTTTCAAAGGTGTCTGGATATGGGTCAGTTTACTTTTCTGAGTTATTCCGGTAAACAGCATCATCATCTTCAAGGTAACTTTACAATTGTGTATGTGATTGTTGGCCCTAAAGCTACAGATAAAACCTCTAAAGGCCCGTCAGCACATTTTGTAGGGACAGTTATACTTATAAAATGTAAATACTGCTCTGTTAAAATGTGTTTTTCAGTGGCTTATTTTACATTAATTCATTATATAACATGGTCATAAATTTGGGGGGATTGGCATAGCTATAAATAATAGAAATTTGAGAAAATGTTGCTATGGCCATAAAGAATGTCATGGATCTTCCAAAATTTATCTTGTGAACTATGCTTCACACTTGAAGATTCATGCTCAGAAGTAACCACTTTCTTGGCTGAAGTGTAATCAACATTCAAATTTGGAATAGTGGATTACAGGTGCAGCTTTAATACTGAGGCTTTGGTTTTACCCATGGTAAGAGAAGATGTTAATTGCAAAGGAAATTATTAAGTTGGGAATTTACTAGTTTTTAAAAATTTCCTTTCTGCCTTTACTTAATTTAACCCAAGACCCAGGTTGGTCTAGCAGAGTAGGAATTGTTAAAAGAGTAGTTAATATATCAATTTAACCAAACATTTTAGAATTTCAAGTAAGCTTATAATAACTAGAAGAGTAAACTGAACTAATTTGAAAACTATCATTTTCAGTATATTTAGATGGGGCTAGTAATCCAAGGAGGAGTAATAGGGACAGTGGAACACTCGTTAATAATAAATCTGATCAGGCATAATATCTTTCAGTATCTCTTTCTCAAGAGAGTTGAATATTTCTCAAAATTGTTTTTTCCGCAACTTGTGGAAGATAAAGGTCTCTTGACACCTTAAATTCCCATTTTTAATGAAAACGTGTCTTGCTTAATGAGGAAGATCAACACCCTTTGAAATTAAGAGCAAGTGCATGTACTTCAATGACACCAGGGCAGACAAAGCCTTAACTTAAATCTGCCAGAGCTGCTTTGTCTTTATTTATAGCTAGATTATGGTGGTAACTTGTTTCCTACCTTAGCAGTTAGCTTCATTTCCTTAATTTTAGAAGTGTGATGAGAATGCAAAAGGAAAGACAAATGAGAGTTTTGGGACATGGTGGCTCAGGGTTTTAGAAAACTTGTTCTTAGCTAGACAAATAAAATGCCATTAGACTAAAATTTTTATTGAAATCTAGTTCACCACATAATGAAGATAAGCAAACTTAGCAATGAGGATATAAGCAACAGAAGGAAAAATAGAATCAGTCAGCGAATCAGGTAAGGGATGGTTAACAATGCAGGGACAGGCTCTAGGAGTAACTATGAATTGCCCAACTCTGAGACTCTCAAAGGTTTCTGTTCAAGACAAACAGACCCCTCTGAGAGAAGCTGTGTATAATCTACTTACAATTTCCCTGTAGATGCTTTGGAAAATACTATTTTAAGGTGACACATAATATTTTAGGGTAGACCATGAAAATATTGGCCCAACAAAAGAAATTTCCTTGGACAATACATGAAGAAATATGATAGAATCTTATAAATGTATGACTTCTTCCTTTCCTAAATTTCTCTTTATTTGACTTGCAGAGGGAAAGTAAAGTTGAATACTTCTGCATTTTCAAATTTAAATTTAAGGAAGTGAAGTTCTTCCATGTACCTTTGAATTCTAACTTCAAAGATTAATTATCACACATTAACATACCTTTTTATGACAATAATGATAAATGTGAGTGCATTCTAAATGTTAATTTTTCATCAAGGAAATTCACTTATTATTCACTTGTTTATTAGAGCTAATTTTTTAGTTGATAATATTTAGTGCATTTGAGGGTATGACAACTACATTTCTGTAAATGCATTCTATAATTCAGGCAAGTGAGCCTGGACTTCTTCCCCTAGTTTTGTGATCAGTGGGAGTTTCCTCTGTTACATGACAAATTGTATTTAGATTATTCTGATAATTTGATAACAGAATGAGGATATTATAAAATGATAGAATCCCTCATGGCATTTCACGTTCGTGTTGAAACGACTCTGCCATTTCACCTTGTGTTTGTAAAATATTTGGCTTAAGTGGATGAGATGTGGTCTACTTCTATAGAATCTTCCATTAAAAGGGAATCATTGAAAAAAGCAATTAATGCTTCTAATTTTGAGATTTAAGTAATATTTAAGCATGGACCAGATAGAAGAAAGCAAAGCAAACTACAACTGATCAGTGTATCTTGGCCCCATTCTTGGTGGCATACAAATAAATTCTAGAATTTCAAATGGAGTTTTGCAAAACTACCTGAATGCTCCAGCCTCTCATATTTTCCCTTGGTGATGTGATTCTGTCATATTAGGGATACCTCAGTTCTTTGGCCAACTGCATAGGTGTGATCACATGAATGACAGCTAGACTAATGGATCCTATAAGTCAGTCATTTATTTATTGAGTGCCTACTACATGCCTAATGTAAAACTCTGAACAGAACAGGCACACCCTCTTCCCTCATGGACTCTAGTTTTTTGATGGGTAAGATTTCTATAACACTTATATATAACATTTGAACTAGCAATTCCATTTTCAGGCATTTACATTAAGAAAAGAAAATAATTGGACAGGTACACAAATATGAATTTTCAAAGATTTTCATCCTTGTTTATAAATAACAAAAACATGGAAGCAACCCAAATATCCAGCAAAAGAAGATTGGTAAATAAACCATCAGTATGTTAAATCCATACAATGGAATGCTATGTAGTGGGCCGAACAAGCAATGTGCATCTTTGTACGTTTACAAAGATAGATATTCATGATATAAAGTGCAAAATAAGCTAAGTTCATGTACATTTATGTAACATAAACATAGAAAAGGTGTAGAATATGTTACACATGTTAACCATGACAAATGGCATCAGTATAAAGTAGTAATAAGGAGCTTAGTTCCTGAAGCCCCGTTGCCTGTGTTCAAATCCTGGCTCCATCCATTTCTAGCTAGGATAATCTGATCTATATACTACCTAACCCCTAAATGTTTTAGTCTCTTTGCCTATAAAATGGGTATAATAATAGTAAATACCCAGAGGTTTGTTGTATTAAATGTGGTAGGAACATAAAGGTCTTAGAATAGTGCCTGTCATATAGGAAGCATTTCAGGGTTTGCAATTATTAGGGGGGTGAATTAGTGGTAATTTTTATTTTCTCCTTTTGCTTATTTACATTTTGTAAAGTTTCTACATGGTGCCTGGTTGTTGATTCAGCCGACTTGGTTGAAACTCTCCAAGTCATGATAGGAAAACACGTTACTTAAAATTTCCTGCAAAACAGAGAAGAAATAGATATGATGCATGTTCATGTTTTTGTTTTCTGTTAGATTTTTTTGTTCAGAAAGAAAATGTTCCTGTTTGTTATCCATACTTAGAGCAAGCAAAATTTGGCAGTATTTTGTCTTCATTCACTAATAAATATTTATAGAGGGCCTACTATGTGCCCCTTACTCTACAATAGGTGTAGTCTCTGTTGATAGGAGACAAGTGCGCTTCTCTCTGTGATTAACCTCTAGTCCTATAGCATTAGTTTTGGAAGTTTGTATTACAAAATAGGGTCTATTAAATCATTCAAAGCTCTAACTTTATGTTTTGGAAACAGAATGTTGGACGCATCCTATGCCTTCCCCATGATCAAACATGGCATGCTCTTACGACCCATGACCTCCTCTTCTGTGGGGCTTCTGGAAGAAAATGGTGAGTCTCACTGCATAAATGTTGGTAGCAACTCAGTGATTTTCATTATTTTGCATTTATTTAAAATGCAAAGTCAAACAGCCATTATTAAACAGTCATTTCCTTTATATTTCATTTCAAATACTGTCTCAAAAGATAAAGAGATTTCAGAAACAATTACTAAAAATTAGTTTTAACTTTCTTTATTTGAACTTGAGAGATTGGATTTTCTAAAATGCGTGTGAATATTGAAGCTTTTAGGAAATTATAAGGATAAATTCTCATAATTTTAAAAATATCTCTATAGTTGAGTTGCTGTTTTAAAAAAATACATAATTCTTCAAAAGAAAGTATAGATAATTCTTTAAAGTTCCTTAAATGTGACTGAGAAACTCTCTGAAGCTTGAGGAGTTGTTTGAAGACCCAGGGGCTATAGATTCAAAGAAACTATTTTGTAGTTTTCCCTCTTTTTAACTTGTTACTCATGTTTTTGAGCTTCGGGGTGTCATTAAGAGAAAAACTCTTGTGGAATGGGACTATTTTGATTTTGGAAGGAATTTTTCTAAATTTGCAGAATAATCTCCTCCTGGGTTCTCAAGACACTCTTGCATAAAATTTCCTTTATTCAACTACAATTTTACCAGCCTTTATTTGTTTTGGTTATTATAGAAGGAATTCAAGCATCAAGTGGAGGCTCATGAGACAGGTTTTCATTAATCCAACCAATATTCACCAAAACTATTAATATTTGTGAATAATGTCAGAATCTTGAACACATGCAATAGGTCTGTTTAAAAATTTTGATTGTTAAATTGGTCCACAGCTTAAATTCTTTTAAATCTTGATCAGATAACTTGAGGCCCCAGGGTAGGGGAAAAATGTGTGGGTCTCAATTGAGTCTAGAATTGAATAATTATGTGAAGAAGTAAATGCTGTCAAAAATTTCTCATAAGGCCTAGGGTCTAATGGGTGAAGTAGTTTTTATAGATAATAATCTTGAAATCTGATAACCCTGAAAGCTGAGGTTTACAGTCCTTAACTACCTCATAAGTGAAAGTTCTACTAATTCTGTGACATTTAGACTTTATTCAGGATCAACCTAAGGGTTGATGAAAGCCTCTATTTTCAAATACCATCCATAAATCACATGTGTCTTTCCCTTTCAGAGGAGCTTCTTAGCTCATTGAAGGGTTCAGTAATTCTCATGGCTTTAGTCTGAATGTAGAAATTTGTCTTTTTGCATACACATGGAGCTTAATATACAGGGGCTTGTTTGTTTAGTGCTAAAGAAAAGATAGAAGACCTTTCTAAAATGTTTGTTGAGAGAGTCCCAGTTACTAGCTACAGATTATTGTGAAATTGTGGCTGGACAGCTGGAAGCATGCACAGTTACCTACGTGATGTTTTGAGTTTTGCCAAAGGTTCTATCCATGCAAAAATGTTCTGCTGAAATATCTGAAATATTTGCTAATGGAACCATCACTTCATGGAGGCTAAAGACGCTATACTTATTACAGTGACTGACACATATTAGGCATTAATAAACATTTGTTAAATGAATGGATGAATGAAGATAAATTAAAAGGAGAAGCCACCCAAATGGAATATACTTCTGTATCTTTGTCTGTATGTCTGTTTCTGAAACTTGATAACTGCTAAAAGAAAAAAGAATTTGGGAAAGTAAAATACAATAGTAACAGCGATGAATATAAACGTTGAAAAGAATAGCACCAGATGCTATTTTTTTTACTGTTCTTGTTTACACTGATTATATGTAGACTGCAGAGATACCATAAAAATCAGTAGATGTTATGTAGTTTAGTTTATATGCTTTAAAACCAAATTGTTAGGTAGATTATTAGTTTTATGATATAAGTGTCTGAAATAACGTCATGGAAGGCTGGGAGGTTGACATGTTGAAAGTGTAAAAAATTGTAATAAAAATCAGTATTTCCAAATGCTGTAGGTTAGCTATTCTTTTTTCCTTAAAGTGAAATGTATTTTTAATCAAATAAGAATGGGAATTTCATCACTGCTTTGTTGTATGTGAAGCTTTTGTTTTATTTTGTTTTGTTTTCAGCCAAACCACTCTTTTATAATTGCAACATTTTTTTTAGAAGAGCAGAAATATCTGAAGGCTTGTGGCCAGCAACTTATTTTATATAAGCTATTAGTAAAATGTGAACAATGATTTTATTTTTGAATAACCTAGGTGTGGTCCTGGCTTTGTGTCTTGGGTGAAAAATAATAAATACTTCTTTTATGCTTGTTAATTTTTTAGTTAATTTTAAGGCTATGGTCTAAAAATTTGCACAACAAAGCTTTTCTCTCTCACCAAAGCTTAAATTGTGAGAGAATGTAGATCTTGTGATTTTCTCTGGGATATATGGTAATTTATTGGGCTCTTAAAATTGATCAATTCTTTTTTTAAAATAAGTAAATTATTCTTATTAAAGGAAAAAGGAAAGGAAATTAGAACATAGGAATTAAGACAAATTTATGATTTCTATCCATTTGACTTATGTATTATTATATATAATATATAATAATATAATGCATATTATATACATATTATATAAATGTATGTATCTTATAATGCTTGAAGCCTTGCTTTTTAAAGCACTACCTCACAGTGATTGAGTGAAGTCACTGGAGTTATTCTGGTTACTCTAATGAGGTTAGAATTCTGGCTCTGCTAGTTTCTATCTGGGAAACTTCATCCAAGTTACTAAATCACTCTGTAATTGTTTCCTCATTGGTTAAATGGGCAATAATAACAGTACCAACCTCAAAGTTTTTAGATAATGCTTGTAAAGTGTATAACATACATCCTAGTGCCTAATAAAATTGAGCTATGCTTATTAGCCACAATTCCCTAGATATATATAGTAAAGCATAATAGACTTGAAAATCTAGTGTTTGGAGACGTAGCTTTGACCATTTCAGAAAGGATATATTACTAGAAGCACAAGACACACTTCATGACAACACCGACTTACACTATCACGTCACTGAACTCAGGAAGGGAGGTTCATTGTTATTGTGTAAACACAATCATTTGACCTTCTTGGATTCAACTATTTTTGCCATTGTCATGCCTTTTTACCCTCCTATTTCAATAAATTTGGTAGGTCACTCTTAAACTGATATTCCTCAGGCACCCCTTTCACCAGTAATTTCAAAGCTTTCTTCCCATCTTTATGATTCTAAGGGAAGCCTCAATGTAGAAACTCTTTAATAGACTTTTTCAAAAGAAAGTTCTGGGAAGAAGGGAGATGTTTCAAAGAAGCCCACATTACATAAGGCCCAAATCTCTGTGTGGCTGGGTACAAATCCCTTCAATTCTCTGGGCTTTAGTTTCATCATCTGTAATCCTCACGGAGAGGATAAAACTGCCTCAGTGAAAGAGAAGAAAGGTTAGAAAATTTCCTTTTTCTGTGTGGTTACTTCTCAGATATTAAAACCTCTCTATACAATCATTGACAGGAGAGAAGAGGACTGACCCCCAGACTCTGCTCTTGGCAAGATTTCTTACCTCTCCCTACATGCCAAGTTCATAGCCTTGAGACCCTCGGGGTGAATCTCATTAAGTATGTCTTTTAACTCTGTCTACATCAGTCTGCACAAGACACTTGGGACTTCCAAATCACTGCTTACCACCAAAACCCCACTATTAGAATTTTGTGTGTCTTCTTTTCTGATGTCATCCCTTACTCTTCCTATTGCTGAAACCCATTTGGTCTTCTCCCTGAACTTATGGCCAGTAACCAGAAAAATCCTAAATCCTTAACCTCTTCTAAGTATTCCCTTCACCTTCTCTCTCTAACTGAAATCTGTGCTCTGTCCCCAACCCTGAGGACATTTCTTCCTCTGCTGCTCTCCCAAGTGGTGATGGTCTTCTCTACAATGCCTCACATCTCTGGGGTTGGAGATGAGATGTGACCTCCTGATTCCTCATGCTGTTTTCACACCACTCCCCCCTCCTCTTCCCTAAAACTCCCAGCTTTGAATCTCATGTCATCAAATTATATCCTTTATTACCTCTCCTTCTTACAGTAATCTATTGATTTGTATCCATTCTCTCATATCCTAAAGAATTTAGCCCTTGGATGCTTGTCATTTTCTCTAGCACTAGTCTTATAATAACTCTTTGTGAGTTCAATATCTAAATGAATAAGCTTTCTAATTTATTGGATTCTCCTTCCCTTGAGAGCTTTTCCTCCAATGATTTTGCCTTCTGTCATGCTACATATATTCTCTGATAGTTATAGCCTAGAGACCTTTGAAATATTTCAAAAATCTCACCCTGAAGAGCACCACCATTCAACCAGACCACCTTCTAAACTCCAACAATTTTTTTTTAACTCCCAGTGGGAGTCTTGGGACCCCCAATGTTCACAGGAGGCCTGGCACTCAAGTTTTGAATTTCTTCTCTAGCTATACTCATTCCCTTGGTAATTTTATCCAATCCTTGGCTTTAAATACCGTTTATATGCTGCAAACTCCAAACTTATATCTCTAGCCTGGTTATTCTCCTGAACTCTAGCTCATGTTCAACTGCTTAATCAGCATTTCCACCTGGATTTTTAATAGGCACGTCAAACCTAACGTTTCCAACTCAGGAACTTTGTACATGTTGTTCTCATTCCCTGGAAAGCTCTTTCCCTTAGATGTCACAGGCATCACTCCTTCATCACTTCCAGGCTTTGTCCAAATGCCCCCTTATCAGTGAGGCCATCCCTGACCTGCCCGTCGTGGTAGCACCATCCGTCCCAGCTCCATTTACTTCTCCTGCTTTATTTTGATCTCTAACATTTAAGGCTTCGGGACATATTGTCTATTTTACTTATGTGGTTTTATCCGCCTCCTCCTGCTATAATATAATCTCCATGAAGGGACATAGTTTTGACTGATTTACTCAATACTATATCCCTTGAACCCAGAATCATTCTTGGCACATAGGAAAAGCTCACTATATTTTATTGGATGAGTGAAAATACTGCTATTTTTTTTTTCTAAAA